CAAAACGAAAGCAATTTTCAGTTCTTTTCATTATTATCGTGGATAATGAGTCTCAAGCCAGCGATTTATGGCTGAAATAGAATCATGATTTTTCCGTGAGGGATTCCTTTAACTGTGTATACTCGAAAGGCCACCTCGTTCAGTGGCATTGCATTTTTTACTCTTTTGGGAAGCTCAGATCGCTCCTTGGTGATTTCTTAACACGTTGACGACAGCGTGACGCGGTAACATCCCACTTTGCGCACCTCGTGGGACATTGTGACGCGGTAACGCGTCCCACCCAAGTCATCCCTTTTTCTTGCGCTTGCGCGACTTATTCCTAAGGTCTTTGTACTCATTCTATAGGCATACATTAGCATACTCAAAAACCACCGCCGACTATGACGTCGGTTTACAGCTCAAAATCCATGGATTTGGTGTGCGGCGGCGGCGCTCGCAAAATCGCTCTGGTCCCACGCGGTGCAAAAACCCAAAACGCGCGATGTCGTCAACGTGTTAAACACATTTGTGGTTTATGATGGTGTCTCTCCCACCTGCTCACGAGCTCCAGTGGTGCAGTCACTTCTCCCAAACGGTGTAGGAATAATTGGGAACAAGGGCAGCTGTCTTTCGGAAATTGCCTCAACTCTGTGGATATTGAGGGTTACACAATTTCCAGAATCGTTATAGATATCCTTATGGACCTATAGGATCATTTCTTATCGCTAATGGAAAGTTTCTTAAAAAGTTGGAAAGCGGTCTCATGGGAGAACGTCCAGGTCAGTTAGTGTTACAGTTTTTGGTACAGATGTTTGTTGTTTTTTTGATCAGTATATCTTAAAGTGTTCGAGTTTCAGCTTCGAGTGGACGGTGAGATCAAAGCCATTGGGATGCGGCAAGACGAAGGTGAAGAGGGACGTAAGATACTTGTCGACGAAAGCAATAAGTACCGCGAAAACACTACCAAGGTAATTTTTGTTGATGTGCACAGCTTTCTATTTGAAGTTTCTCGAGATTTCTACATTTCCGAAAATATTGATGATTTCTGAAATGAAACGTTCTAAAAGTATCTTTCTG